AGCAGCGGCGTCCCCCCGCCGGCCACCTCGCCCGTCAGCTCGTCCAGCTCTTCCCGGCTCCGGCCGCTGAGCAGCTTCTGGAGCAGCTGCAGCTTGCCGTCGCGGGCGGCGTTGTACACGGCGGTGCGGAGGTCCATGGTCCGGGCCTCCGCCAGGCCATGGGCTGGCCGCCGGGGGGACGGGGACACGACAGATTAGAGCCCAGACGGGCAGGCGACAACCTTCACCGTCCCCCTCGCCGCCATCTTAGGGGCTGCCCGGGCGGAACAAAATGGCTGCCGCGACCTGGCGCCGTCGGCCTCTGGGAGCACGCCGGGAAATGGAGTCCTCTGCGTCAGTCCATCCCATAGAACTGAGATGGAACGCGGAGGGCGCAAGACTACAATTCCCAGGAGGCTGCGGACCAGCTGCCGCGAACTGTGAGCGCGGTGCATGGTGGGAACTGCCGTTCCGCTCACAGCGGATGACGGCGTAAGGCAGCAATTCGAGGACTGCAATTCCCGTCATGCAGTGCCATCGGGCTGTAACTTGTGGGCCCCAGGGAAATGTGGCAATGTACTTCCCGTGGCTGTCCCTGTGACGGAGCCGAAGAGAAAAGCGGGAGCTGGTCCCACCGGACTACATTCCCCAGAAGGCATCGCGAGCGACTCAGAACCAATCAGGAACGAGAATGAAGCGCTCGGGTCTGATTTGTGCTTGGTGTGACGGAGCCGCCGACCGGCAGGGGGCGCTGGGGAGAGTCAGAAAAGCCAGGTGGGACGAGGACGGTGGGGAAGCTGGGAGGACAGGTGGCGATAAGGGTCAATCCTCATCGCTTGCGCCCTCTCATTTACTCATTCATTCATTCACTCACATAGCTTTATGGTGTAACATATGTCAGAATTTCCTTCCTTTTTAAGGAAGACTAATATTCCATTGTATGAATGGGCCACGTTGTATTTGTCCATTCATCCGCTGATGGACATTTGGGTTGTTTCCACCTTCTGGCTCCTGTAAATCCTGCTGCTGTGGACATACTGTGTGTTTTCTTGATTCTTTTTAATTGATGGCTAAAAACGCATCCACTCTTTTAAGGTTCTTGCTAGATATTGCCAAACCCCTCCTGAAAAACACTCACACTCCCATCAGCAGCACATGAGTGTGTCCATTTCTCTGCATTCTTAATTGTTTTATTCTTATTTATTTATTTTATTTGGCGGTTGGCTGTTACAGGGATCCAACCCTCATTTCCCTGCATTTTTGACAACAATGAGTTTATCTGTGAAAAAGAAATCTTTGATGACCTGAATTCTTTGTTTTGAAAGTCAGGTGTATTTGAGGGGTAATGTATGTACATTAAAATTCATTCTTTTCGGGCCGGCCCGTGGCTCACTCGGAAGAGTGTGGTGCTGATAACACCAAGGCCACGGGTTCGGATCCCATATAGGGATGGCCGGTTCGCTCACTGGCTGAGCGTGGTGCTGACAACACCAAGTCAAGGGTTAAGATCCCCTTACTGGTCATCTTTAAAAAAAAAAAAAAAAATTCATTCTTTTCAGGAAAACAGCGTTTGACGGACCTATGCAGTTGTGTGGCCAGCGCCGCAACCAAGATATACAATAGTTTCATCATCCAGAAAGTTCTCTTGTGCTCCTTTTGGTCAATTTCCTCCTTCATCCCTGGCCACTGCTGATCCGTTCTATCGTTTCACCTTTTCAGGAATATCATATAAATGGAATCATACAATATGTAGCCTTTTGAGTCTGGTTTCTTTCATTCAGCATAACTTATTTGAGATTTATTCATGTTGTCGCATGTATTAGTAGCCTGGTCCCCACCTCCCTCTTTTTTTTTTTTTTTTTTTTGGTGGCTGGTACAGGGAGCTTGGTCTCTTTTATTGCAAAGTCTTATTCCATTGCATGGATGATGCACAGTTAGTTTATCCATTACTTGATGGTCATATCCAGTTTTTGATGATTTCAAATAAAGCTGCTGTAGACTTTTGTGTACAGGTCTTTGTGTAGAAATATATTTTCATTTCTCTTGGATAATGCCTAGGAATGGAATTACTCTTAATTGTTGA